CTGAATTCGACTACGCCATCACAGTCTTGGCAGCCCGCCGCGCGAGACAGCGCGCGGCTCGTCAGCGAGCAGAACAATGTACTTCTCCGTCTGGACCAAGATGTGACGCTTCGGCGGCCCCGCCCGCAAACGACCCTACCACAGATTGCGAGCCCGAGGTCGTCGCTTTTCTGCGTCAGCATGGTTTGGGGATGTATGCGTCGAGCTTTGCTGAGCATGGCTTTGAGCGCATGGCTGAGGTACGACTTATGAGTGATCGACACATGCGCGACATCGGCCTACGACCTGGTCGTTGCATACGTCGTGTTACAGCACTGGGCCAGCAGGCTGCAACTGAACAGGGAACCTGTGTCGACACTCTTCTGGAACCGCCTGGCTTGCGCGGCTGTCGAACAAAGCTGCTCGGCGGCATTACCGCGACGCAGACCCAGCGCGCCGACGGGTGGGCTGGCGCCCCGCCTACGCAGGGCGTTTCCCTTGGGACTGACTTTTCTCCTCCCTCCCTGCCCATGATTCCTCGAGATGCGACAGTTAGTCGCCTATGCCGGAAAGATTGCGAGATGGGTCGCCTCCACCGGGAAGAGCGCGAAGGTAGTCGCGAATAGCGGGAGGAGGAGCAGGAAGAAGTCAGGGGGGACCTTGCCGACCGTCCAACGCAACCCACTGGCAACGCGACCTCTTGACACACCCAGCCGCCTCGGATTCCAACGGGCTCTGCGACGGTCAGTCGCCGCCACCGGGAAGAACGTGATGATAGTCGTGAGTCTCAGGGTGAGGGGCAAGGAGAAGACAGAGAGGACTTTGCCGACCGTCCGACACGACCCGCTGGCTACACGACCCCTGGGAACTCCCAGCCGCTTCGAATTCCGACAGACTTTGCGATGGTCGTTCACCTACACTTGGAAGATCGCGACAAGGGGGGTCGAGCCACAAGAGAAGGGGCAGGTGGAAGACAGAGAGGACCTTGCCGACCGTCCACCGCAACCCACTGGCAACGCGACCTCTGGGGACACCCAGCCGCCTCGGATTCCAATAGCCTCTGCGGCGGTCAGTCGCTTCCACCGGGAAGAGTGTGGAGATAGTCGCGAGTCGCAGGGTGAGGGGCAGGGAGAAGACAGAGAACCGTGCTGACCGTCCAACGCAACCCACTGGCAACGCGACCCCTGGGAACACCCAGCCGCCTCGGATTCCAAGGGGTTCTGCGATGGTTAGTCACCTGCACCGGGAAGGGTGCGAAATGGGTCGCGAGCCGCAGGAGAAGGGGCAGGGAGAAGACAGAGAGGACCTTGCCGACCGTCCAACGCAACCCACTGACGACACGACCCCTGGGGACACCCAGCCGCCTCGGATTCCAACAGACTCTGCGACGGTCAGTCGCCTCCACTGGGAAGAGTGCGAAGATGGTCGTGAGTCGCAGGAGGAAGGTGGGCCCACCACTGGGGAGGGGACCATCGAGGAGACCGTCGAGGGGCTCGGCGGAGGAGTCCCTGGAGGAGAAGTGCGAGGACGAGGAGAACGAGAGCATCCCGGAGGACGACCTGGGCATTGCGGTGGAAAGAGACAAGGGGACCTTGGAAGACGAGGCCGCAGTCCGGCGAATGGTGGGCAGAGGGCGATTCGCTGCCCCCCGACCCCCCCCCCACGTCCACCAGGGGCCCCCGCGCCCGTGCGTGCGACCGGCCCGCTGCAGGCCCCGCCCGCTGCAAACGCGGACGCGCCGCCTCGGCGGGCGGGCTTTGCTAGCGAATCACTCCTGCACTGGCGTCGCCTTCGACGGACCGTGCGGGGCCGCAGGGCGACGGTGGCCCCCGGCCGTCGCCCGCCGCTGACTCCTCCAGCCAATGGCGACCCAGTGTCCGAACTGCGCTGGCCCAGCCGGAGACCACGTCGACCCCGGCGATCACCGCTGCCGCCGCTACGACCGTCGACGCTGACTCGTCCCCGCGCGTGCCGCCTGCCCGTGGAGACGGGGCGGGCCTGGGCGAATCGCTTAAAAACTATGCCCTCGCCCCCCAATGCGAACGGGTCTCATGCGAGTGCAGAGCTGGGCGCGGGCCAAGCAGCGGAACAGTCGCCTGGCGAGTCTGCCTCGGGTGCCGGGGCGCTCGGGGACGACCCGCCGGCCCTTGTGGAGCGGGTCGCGGCGTGGCAAAGGACGGGGGGGGGCGTGCCAGCGGCGTGACTTCTGTTGCGCTAACAAGGTGATGGGGGGGCCTGGCAATTGCGATCCCGCGCGCCACGAGTCTGACGTCTTCCGCCGGTTCCTAGCGTTCACGGGGGAACACCCAGACTGCGACGACTACTTCGAATTGGCCCTCACCACGATGAGCCGCCGCTGTCTAATGGAGCGCGTTCGGGGCGTCATTCGCTCGTCCCCGGATAGCCCTGCACAGTATGAGTGGCGGACTACAGGAAGCTTGGCCAAGGCAGAGCCCAGCCTTACAGTGTACCCATGCACGTCATCGTCGCATTCATGCGCGCTCGCGCCGGGCGCGAGAGG